TAGCACTGATACAACAGGCGGCGTCGCCCACTAACTGGACCCGAGCCTCAACCGCTTCCAGTTATATCGAACCCATAGTCAGAACCCGTAATAATATTCACGTCATCACCAGATCGTTAGTCACAAGAATTTTATTGTCCAACACTAACGGATTGACGGCCACTGGCGTTGAGTTTAGCAGAAATGGTCAAACATATCAAGTGAACGCTCGACGGGAAGTCATACTATCGGCCGGTATTTAAATATAGAAAACTTTATGTTTTTGTTTATTTGTCTAATTATTGATTGATTTTGATTGAAAGGCGGAACAAATAGCCCACAGATATTGATGCTCTCGGGAATTGGTCCGCGACAGCACTTACAAGACATGGGAATACCGGTACAAATGGATCTCCCGGTCGGCAACAACCTTATGGATCACATATTGATTCCAATGGACTATTTGGTGCAAAACCAGTCCGACATCCAGTGGTCTAGAAATTTGGATCAAATAATGACAGTTCAGAATTTATATGATTATTACGTTAATAATAACGGACCGCTCGTCCAATTGCCGACTGTCCTCACGTATCACAGCTCACGATTCAACGACAACCCGGACTGGCCCGACGGTATCAGAGCCACACTCACCTCACAAATCGGTCAGTTTTACCATTACTTAAAAAATTATTTTTAAATATTTTATATCAAACTTTAGGAACAAATATTAGCAGCATTTTAGCCGATTATGGCCAGAATGTAGACGAATGGGCCGACTATTGGAATGGTTTGGCTGGAGATCAAAGACATTTTTGGGTCTTTTACGCCGTGTATAGACCGCGAAGTCGAGGAACCGTTCGGTTGGCGTCCTCTAACCCGAGAGACGCGCCACTCATTGATCCCAATTATTACGCCGAGAATTATGACTTAGGAGTAGTGGTCGACACTATGAGCACTGGTATGCGAATGACTGAACAGCCATTCTTCAGACAATTCGCCCGCATTTACAACCGGACAATACCCGGCTGTCAGATGTGTGACTCCGGACCCTAGACTTAGGAGTAGTGGTCGACACTATGAGCACTGGTATGCGAATGACTGAACAGCCATTCTTCAGACAATTCGCCCGCATTTACAACCGGACAATACCCGGCTGTCAGATGTGTGACTCCGGACCCTATTATGAGTGCTATTCATACCTGGCGTGTGTCGCGCAGACCATTACCGCCACGTCTTACCATCCCGTCGGTCAGTAACCCATTCCCACCAAACCATCCAATACTAGTCATTGAATCACTTCTTAATTGCTGTATTTGTAGGCACGTGTCGAATGGGTAACGCAACAGATCCCGAGGCTGTGGTCGACAATCAACTCCGAGTCCGTGGAGTGCAAAACCTTCGTGTGATCGACGCCTCGATTATGCCGAAGATTATAAACGCCAACACAAATGCCTGTTCAATGATGATCGGCGAGAGGGGATCCGATTGGGTCCGATTCGGCCGATGATAGCACTTCGCATCACTAATCAAACATTTATTCACTTTATTATTATTTATAATGTAATGTAATTTGAATGAAGTTTTGGTTCAATTGAATAAACAGTGTTTTGCTATCAATTCAAACACTAATATAATTATAGATATTATGGTTAAAAAAGCGACGACTTGTATGAGAGAAACAATTGCCGAGAATCTCAACTCAAAGAATGGATATTTCTTCGTATGAGATGTGGACTGAAAGAAGCATTTCCTAAACCATCGACAACTTCTTTGTCAACTTAAATCGTAATTCAGTTTATTTAGATATTTCTCTATAAAACCCGACGATTGACTCAAACGAATCCTTCAAAATATTTCAATCAAAACTTTTTAAATCTCAATTCAAAGATATGTTTGTTTGTATTACCAGTTATTTAATTGTGAAATTGTGCGAAGAAAGTGCGGATCAGTGATGGTCTTGGATGTGGCCATGAAATAATGTTTCTGTGTTTGCCAGACATGTTTTGCCACATGTATTAAGACATTGGGATTGTGTTGACAGAGAAGTGCTTTGGAGACATAAATGCTGGCCTCTGTGTCCAGGAATGCGATCCGACGTCTCATAAACTGCTGGCGATTCCATGTCTTGTAAAATGGATTTTCAATAATAAGTGATGTATTTTTATTACTATTTATCACTTTTGCCAATGAATTCAATACTTTATTCTCTGAGCTCTGGAGGAATGAATACGGAATCACAGGTATTGTATAAGAAGTGTTATTAAAATGTTTTTAAATAATAACCTCTAACTGTGAGACAAAGGCTGAGTGACCCCACGCTATTGGGATTATATTTGGGTTTTGGAGCAGATCTTCGTAGTTCTCAATCTGATTGTGGGATCTATTGGTCAGCAGTTCTGCACTAATCAGTGAATTGATGTAAACCCAGAAGAATGCAATACAAATCAAGATAACCATATGTATTGCTGTCCATTTGTTTAATGGGAACCGAATAATTGCTAGTTTTTATTAAAAATAATAATAAGTGAACTCTGTTTTGATATCNAGTCAATGGTAGGCCAGCCCTCTCTACCCCAGGCCTCCATATATCGGAGCAAAATCGGGTCCGGATTTGGTGCCGAAGAGATGGGCATTTGACCGGAGGTCGAGTGGTAGGCAGTGTTGGCAATATATGCCGGGTTTGTCTGGTTCTCCATTCGCAAAAAGTATGGCAACACATCGTTATACGACCAGCCGGTGGCCCCGTATCTGTTCGCCCAGTTGTCGTAATCCCGACGATTGCCTCTGTTATAGATGGCATAGTTTGTGGTCGAAGAGCCGCCCAATACGCGACCTCTCGGGTACACCATTTGCCGGTTCACAAACGCAAACCCTTTGAATGGTTGAAATAATATGTTTAAAACTATAGCAAAATCATAATTTCTACTTAAATACCGGCCCTCTTTTGGGGAGTAGTCATATACCCCCAATCGTTTTCGCCGGTCATTCCTATCCAAGCGGTGGCCAACATATCGGTGATGTCAGTCTGCGGACCGCCGGCCTCTATAAGCAGAACATTAACGTTGGGATCTTCGGTGAGTCTGGCGGCCACTATTGAGCCACAACTCCCGGCGCCGATCACCACATAATCATAAGTACTGTTCCATTGGGTTCTGTTCGCCGCCTCGTTGTGGAGGAGTTGTCTTTGAAGTGATATAATAGATATAGTTATCAATTGGACGGAAAGACTTTGCGCTATTAAAGTCATTCTCCGGTGATTTAGTGTTGCCTTAACTCACAATCAACTCAATTGTGATAATTTTGTTTAGCTTTTGCAGAGTTTTAAAAAATACTTTTTGTTTTATAGCTTTTATAATAACCCGTATTTTAATTGCAAA